AAGGGCCCACGCCCCGTGCTTCCCACGTGACCGCCGCCGCCGCGCATGCGCGCCGACCGTGACGTCGCCGCCGTCACCGCGCGGTGGTTGATTGAAAACTGTTTCAAAACTGTTTTCTTTCTTCTCGCGCGGGCGTGCCTTTCACTAACATTCCTCCCACCAATTTAATTGATAAATTAAATTCTAATACTATATTTTCTTGGCTATAGTAGAGGCCAATCTAAATTTGTTTTGTTTCTAATGGAAAAAGTCGCTGTACTGGACGAAGAAAAACTCCCGATGATGTCTTCACTCTTGCGACTCGAACTTGTCCATCGGCCCCAGGTAGCACCTCCTCCACTTTTCCTAATGGCCATGAAATCCTTCTCCCCCTATTTTTTTTTCTTTTTCTGTTGAAGGGTGTGACGACTGCCTTTCTCAGTTCACTATTGACTTCTTCGATTGACTCCTTTTCTGCAGACTGTGTCCAAAATTGTTCTTCTTTCTTACCTAACTGGTCTCTCCCACCATCTAGTAGTAATCAATTGCGAGATTGAAGCTCCACGTGAGGGGATGTCTGCAGGATTTTCTTTACCAGGAACGTGCCTCCAATCAGTTATGCTTGAATTTTGTCGAATCTTCTTTACTCTTCCTGCGACAAACACTGACCAGTTCATATCACGTTTAATCCCTGCTAAAGCAGTAGTAGATTCAAGTTTCTTCTCCGAAATTAGCTTGTAATTAGGGAGTGGTGGGTGTTCTCCTATCCAAGGTAAATTGACAGAATATCGACCATCTTCATTCTGTTTCACTGTTTGGTTGAAATGTTCCAACGCTGCAACTGACAACTCTTCTTTGCTCTTTTCCTTCATGGGTTCCATGATACTGATAACATCTAATCTCCGAAGATCTTGTATTGTTGCATCACGGACTAAGCATGACAGAACTGATGATTGAGATTTAGTTGTTTGAACATTTCCCAAAACTTTTCCACTAACAGTCCAGCCCAGCTTCGTTTCGAGAGCAACGGGACCAGATTCCAATTCTATTTTCTTTCCTGTTAGTAGCTTGGCGTATACGTCTGCTCCTAGTAGTAGTTCAATCTCCGTGTTCGACCTATAGACATCCAAGTCAATTCCCTTTGATCGAAGTTCCGTCATCCATTCGGTAGGTTGAGCGGAAGGCATTGCACTACAAATCGTTGAGCAGTCTTGTACTTCAAAATTGCAGTTGTACTTGGAGTCCACATCAGAAATGTAGATTCGATACCGCTTGTGCTGCTGTGGTCTCGATTTCACTCCACCAAATAGTAAGTGTACAACTTCCTTTTTCCCGAGCATAGTGAGTCCAACTTCGGAAGCAGTTTGTTCCAATACATATGAGTTCTGGGATCCACTATCTAACATTGCTCGAACAACTTTTGATTTATTTTCGCCATCAATCTTTACCATGATTGTTTGAAGTAAGACATCTTGGCACCGAACTTGATTCGACATGTCCACGGATGCATTTATGTTCTTACTTCTCTCTTCAATCCCATCAGATTTTTGGCTGCCTTTTGAAACTGGACATAAGATTGCCCTGTGTTTTTTACTACAGATGACACATTTCACTACGTTTCTGCAATACTTGGAAAAGTGTCCGGGCTTCAAGCAAGAATAACAACACTGTTTCTCTTGAATTATTTTCCTTCTTTCTTCAAGAGACATTGACATGGCTTTACAGCATTGTTCACTCAAATGTTTTTCATCACAAAATACACATTTATAAGCGTTATTTGACTTCCCATCAGCAACTACCAGACTTGCAGCGGTGGCGACAGATGTCTTCGGCTTGGGCGGCTTATCTCGATTAAATTGTGGTGGATACGAACTCGAAAACGGTTGACGAGCCAAACGCATTCTTTCACTTCCCTCAACTTCGTGTTTTAGGAATTCCATAAGCTTCTCCAGGAGGACTTCACTTGATTTATGCTTTCCATCTTCATCAGGCTTGTGATGATGACGAGTCCTTTCCCACGCGACGAAGAGATCTTCAGGTAAAGCTGATTCCACCATGGGGTACAGAATAGCAGCGCATTTATCTGTTGTGACTCCTAAAGACCCCAACGCTCGTAGTTGTGATGATAACCGAACGTATACAGTCGAAAAAGATGTCGTGTTCCTTCCATGAGCATTTTCCAAAATGATAGCAATCAAATCCCTTACGTACACTTCCACCAACATGTCTTCACGGCCAAAACGTTCCTTAAGAGTGCTGATGGCAAGTGGATAATTTGCCGCTGAGTTTGGAAAGGATGAAACTATTTCCTACGACACCGATCCCTTTATCATGCAATTTTGTAGGTATTGGAACTTGACACAGGCCGAAATGGAGTCATCAACGTGGACGCTTTGAAAGGCTGACCAGAACTGCAGCCACTCCCGTGCTTCTCCTCCAAATTTCGGTAGTTCCAACTTCGGAAGTCGATGAAGATTTGACTTTCCTTCGTTCCCCCCGGAAACTATTGATTCTCGGTCTACTGTTGGTTTTGCTAGTAATTGTTCCATTTTTTGCAAAACGCCTTCAGACCTTCCAAATAGATTCGCTTGAACGATATCGACATCTTCAATTTCTTCATCTTCTCTATCCGCCTTTATCAGTTGTTCGATGAGACAATCACTGGCAATTAAGAACCTGTCTTTACATCTGAGGAGCTTTGGTCGTAGAGACATCAACATTTCTAGGCTTGGTTCTTGCTTTCCAAGTTCGCCATCTGCTTCTGCAATAACACTTTCCAAAGTCCTCTTTTTCGTCTCACAAGCTTTCTTGAGTTTGTCCATCTTAAATCCTTGGCAGGGCTCGCCACAATGTTCGGTACACTTTTTGAATGGTACACTATGACAGGTTCGTTTGGTATTGAAAGAATGATTCAATTAATCATCCTTGATATTTTAAATTTTATTCAGGATAAATATAGATATAAATATTATGTTACAAATTAATTTTAGTAATTAAAGAAGTTAAAAAATGTTCGATTGAAAAGGATGGATTGGGAAGGAAGTCAGTCCGTGTTGGCCGTCAGAATTCGAAGGGCCCACGCCCCGTGCTTCCCACGTGACCGCCGCCGCCGCCGCACATGCGCGCCGACCGTGACGTCGCCGCCGTCACCGCGCGGTGGTTGATTGAAAACTGTTCAAAACTGTTTTCTTTCTTCTCGTGCCTTTCACTAACACACACTATTTTTTTATTTGGCCTTATTACCTTGTGTTTATAATCTACTAGCCGAATAACCCGGGCAACGCCCGGGGTTTACCCGATTAAATGCTTTTATTCAAATACTATTCGTTACAATTATAAATTGGCGCCGTGGATGTCATTCTTGTATAATATATAAATGAGTTTTAAAAAAATGCATCGGCCGGGAATCGAACCCGCGTGGCAGGCGAGCATTCTAGCACTGAACCACCGATAGTTATGAGAAATGGCCATATTTGGGTATTTATTCCATTCACAAAAGCAAACGGTGACAGAATTGATTATGACGCTGATAACTGTATATATTAAAAATATAAATATATATTATTATATCAACTATATTAATTAAATCAAATACCTAAACACTAATATAATACAATTTTTGCCATCACACACTTTTTTCCTGTAGTTTATGTGTTACTTCTGTATTGCTATTCTATGGCACTTCTAATATTTATTATTGATGTACTTTCAGTATGAAGGAAATTGCAATCGGGGGAATTCTCGGGCGAAGCCGGGTCATACGTCTAGTTATATATATTGGCATCATATATTAACTTTATGAACGGAAAAATATGTCCAGGGTAGCCTAGTGGTCATGGCATCTGCCCGGTAAGCGGAAGGTCGTGGGTTCGATTCCCATCCCTTGACACTTTTTTTATTTTATCCATTCTGACCAAAATCTATCCGTGAACTTCACACAGTGAACTTCACACAGACAGAATAAGGCAATTATATATATAATTAATTATTATTAATAATAATAATTATTATCATTAGATAATGATAATGATCATAATGATGATGCGCGCGTTGATGACCAAAATCTATCCGTGAACTTCACACAGTGAACTTCACACAGACAGAATAAGGCAATTATATAAGTAGATGACGTAATGCCGGCGGCGCGCGCCCGTTGGCTGCCGGCGAGCACGTGACTTCCCTGTGCGCGCGCATCCGTGACAGAGGTGGCCGATGAGGAATGAGGAAATACGCTCGTGACTATATATATACAATAATAATTATTATTATTATCATTAGATAATGATAATAATCATAATGATGATGCGCGCATCCGTGACAGAGGCCGATGAGGAATGAGGAAAGACGGTCGTGACTATATATAGTAATACTGACATGGATCTGACATACTTCTGCCAAGGATTACATCGAAGTCTTGGAAATTTGTCCCTAGTACCTTTGCGTCCTTTTTTCGGCGTGAAGAACGGCTTTGTCGTCGTATCGTCGTCTATAGGGTAATCGTCATCTTGGAGCTAAGTCTTGGCTTTGACACGGCGGTGGAATCCTGGAGCCAGTCTCGGGAAATGTAGATCACAGCACCCGTGGCTTCAAGGTCTTCTCGGCGATTATCAGTCTTGTCTTCCCTAATTTACCCAGCATCTCCACAGAAATGCAACCTGGAAAATTAAGGAAGACAAACTTCAAGATGACACAGCAATTTATTTAAGGCAAGAACAAACTATGAATGATAAACAAAAAGATAAGAAAATGAAGGAAGTTTACAGAGTATCAAAATATAAGCATAAAAAATGATACTCTGTTAATAAAATAATAAATATTTTGGTACAATATAGAGAGAGTTACATTATAAAGGACTGCGGCGTGTGATTATAAACAATACTTAAAGTTACACCGCATAAGTTTATTTTCTATGAAAAATTAATATTTATTTTAAAGATAAATATTTACTATTTCTAACTTTTTGAATGAAGTATGAGAGGGTGAAAATATGAAGAGTAATGGCGAACGGGAAAAATAAAAGTGTCCAGGGGCGGGAATCGAACCCAAACCTTCTGCTTACCGGGCAGGTGCCATGTCCACTAGGCTACCCTGGACGTTATTTCTCCGTTCGTAAATAATACTTAAAGTAACTTATAATACATTATAAAGGACTGCGGCGTGTGATTATAAACAATACTTAAAATTATACCGCATAAGTTTCTTTTCTATGAAAAATCAATATTTATTTTAAAGAGAAATATTTACTATTTCTAACTTTTTAATTGAAGTATTTTATTTTTCCCGTTCGCCATTACTCTTCATATTTTCACCCTCTCATACTTCATTCAAAAAGTTAGAAATAGTAAATATTTCTCTTTAAAATAAATATTGATTTTTCATAGAAAAGAAACTTATGCGGTATAATTTTAAGTATTGTTTATAGAGAGAGTTATTGAAATAAATATGCTGAGTAACAAAATATGTAAAATAATGAATCTGTTAATAAATTTATAAAACATTGTACCACAATATAATGTTTCATAGTTAATTTATGTATTGTTATTGAAGGTAGATTATTATGCAAAGTTTCAATTCAAACTAAACAACGGGAAGTGAGCAAAATCGATTTTAAGATTCAACCTATCATACAGACAGAGCAGTTAAAAAGTATGTAATGAATAAATAATGGGATGAATGATCAATCCTTTATAAATATGATGTCTTAGCGCGACCTCTGTTGTGAGAAATTAGAACTATTTTTAACACTGAAGATAGAGGCTGCCTGGCCGGCATTCATATCTCTGTGAAAAATAGACACTTCGACCAGTTAGAGTTTTTTATTTTCTCAACGTTTCAATAAAAATATTTTGTCTTTACAATTACAATTATTTTATTTCCAAAGCGCTATATCCCGCAAGGGATACTTGCGCCAAACAAGGAGAAAAGTTTATTTACATGAGTTATTTACATTATTCAACGAATAAAAACATTAGAGATCCATATTTTGTAGAAATTTTAGAATGTATTTACAAAATGAATTGAACTTTAGATATGATTTTTTATCGGAAATCAAATCGTTTAATTCATAAACAACTAGTTCATTCTTCATTCTATAGTCTTGAAATGCTGGGCAATCGATCAGTAGATGTCTTGAGGTTTGTTCCTCCATACCACAAAAGCAGCTTGAATCCTCCACTGCCTTTATTCTATTTAAAAAACTTTTAAAATTTCCGTGGTTTGTAACAAATTGAGTATTATAAAAATTTGGACGAAAGTATTTAGGGATTTCTTGTGGAAAAAAGCTTAAGAAAGTATTATTTGCTTCGTTTTTTAGAACATTCATTCTTGATTTGAGAAAGGTATCTATAATTCCTGGAATAAATGGGTCATAAATTTGTTGATCATCTATGGATAAGTTTCTCAGATCAGATATCATGATTCTGGATTCGATAAAGTCTGAGATCAGAGGAATGTTGGCCAAACTATGAACACAGCTATATGATGTGGATTTATAGGCTTGTATACACCATGTCAGTATTTGATATTGGGTTGAATTTAATTTTTGTAAACATTTTTTATTTAAATATTTGAACCAGATTTCGGCTCCATATGTAAGTATTGGTCTGAAAATGGATTTATATAAAGTTAGCCTTTTCTGGGTGCTTTAGACCCCAAGATTTCCCGCAAATTGAGAAGAGATAATTTTTAAAACGTTTTGTACGATTTACTATTTCTTCTATGTGGTATGTAAAATTTATTTTGTTTCTTCTTCTGTGATTTGCAATTATTATTCCTAAAATTTTGGTCTTCAGAGTTGGTATGATTATTTCATTATTAAATTTGATTGGGATTTTTTCTTTGTTATGTAAATAAAGTATATTAGTTTTTTCTAGACTTATTTCAAGTTTGTTACTCTTACACCATACATCAATCGTATTTAATGCCTTTTCTATAACTAATTTCAGGTCTTTGCAATTGTTGTGCCAGCATATGAATTCGTCAGGAGAAATAAATAGAAATAAAGCATTTGGCAAGGCGTTAAAAATTGTTTTTTTTTTTAGGAGAACAATTTTTAACACCTTGCCAAATGCTTTATTTTTATTTATTTCTCTTGAGGAAGACAAAATATTTTTGTTGAGAAGTTGAGAAAATAAAAAACTCTAACTGGCCTAAGTGTCTATTTTTCACAGAAATATTTTTGACAGGTATTATTCTTTTTAAAATAAATCAAATTTCCACTGTCCTTACTACAATGATAAAATAATGAGAGAGCCTGGCTCATCAGTGGTGAACCATCCCAGCAGTTTCGCCTATTATTATATTCGCGTCATATTAATATTGTGTTTTAAAAACTTTTACTTGCAATTTGCGGAAGAGCAAATTGAGAGAAACGTATTATATATTTATCATTACATGTATTTCTACTGTCCTTAAAGCTTATGTCGATAGTTCATTTAAAATACCCTTTCCAAGAGTCCAGCTTCAGTATCAGTATAAAAGGATAACCGAAAAATACAATATTACAGCGGTATGGTAGATTAAACAGGCGAAACTACTGGGAGGGTTCACCACTGATGAGCCAAGCCCTTCCATTATTTTATCAAGGCTCAGTCGCAATGCTACTGAGTAGTGCTCCCAGTCTTAATGACAAAGGCAGACGCATTCTACTTCTGAGATAAGGAAGAAGAATATCATTGCAGTAAGAGAAGTAGAAAATTGAATTATTTCAAAAGAATTATACGCGTAAAAAGGAGTTAATTTTTTTAATAATCCATCCATCTTGTCAAAAAAAAAAATTCAGTTGTATTAAAATTGAAAAAAAAAAAAAAAAATTCCCACGCCGGGAATCGAACCCGGGCCTCCTGGGTGAGAGCCAGGTATCCTAGCCACTAGACCACGTGGGAGATGCAAATTAACTTTTAAGTATGTATATATTTTTAAAATAAAATAAAATTCTTTCCATTAAAGAGGAATACCATTATAGTCAACCTATCATAGACATACATTTAGGACTTTCGAATCAGTTCAAATGGAAATTTCCTCGTTTTTTTTTTATGTCTTACATTATTTCAATATTTCAAATACGTTACTTTAAAAATTACGTTATTTCAGAAATTGATTGATAAATATATAAATTTACTAGCGGATGTGTACCCGGCTTCGCCCGGGTTTTATCCGAGTGAAAGTTTGCCTAACGAATATTATATATTATGAAGTATAATAAACAATGTTAAAGATTAGTTTTAATTATTAATCAAGATTGTGTGTGAATATGTGAGAAAGATGTAATATCGTTGTTGTTTTCTTGGCCGACTGTTTTACATATGGTGTTATCTTAAAATTGCTTGTTTTGAATATTTTTTTTAGATTGAGTTGAATGAATTGCTGAATTTTTTTTTGTATTTATATATAAATAAAATTAACTCTGTTGATTTTTTTTGTATTTAATCGATAACAGCGAAGTTACGCATGTTAAAGTTAGGAAAAATATTTTGATGTTAAGCAAAACCTGCTCCATCTCGTTTTACATAAATGTTGAAAATTTGGTCGAAATTGATGCATTGTAACGAAAGTTTTTAGTGAACAACACTTATGAAATTTGCATTTTATTAATATAGATACTACTACAAAAATAAGTTATTTAACCAATTGGGCGACAATGTAGCCATTACAAAGATTGAATCATCAATGGCGTTCTTTCAGCACTTGAAACTTTTTAACAAAAGTATATTTTATAAAATAATAATACTATATTTGAAAAATAGTACAAATTTGATATTGTACTGGGATAAGGTGTATAAATTATGAAAAAGGCCTTTCCTTATCGTGCAACTGGAAGTTGCTGATAGCTTGCGCCATCTATCGGGATAAATATCAACTATTCTCGTTGATTTTTAATTATTCCAGAATTAGCAAAATACCAGAATGGGCATTTGTCCAATTCTTGAATAATTAAAAATCTATGAGAATAGTTGATATTTATTCCGATAGATGGCGCAAGCCATCAGCAGCTTTCAGTTGCACGATAAGGAGATGCCTTTTTCATAATACTATTTTTATATAGGTTTTACTTTATTCTAGGAATCCTTCTAATTTGTTAGGGCGATATTCATTGCACACCTTCATTTTTTAGTAATGGAGTCGGTGGTTTCGATTCCCGCATTGGACACGTTTTCTCTAATAAAATAATACTCCAATGGCCCCCGATTCTTGTAAAATTCCAACTCCACCAGCGAGCGCAAGTAACCAAACGGGGCTCTGGTATATTTGTAAGTGCAAAAGTCGAACTGATTTTCTCATTTATAGACATGTGGTGCACTTACAGTAAAAGGCGTGATCGTAGCCAACCAATAGGAGAGCGCCATTCCAAAAAAAAAGCAAACGGTGACAGAGATGAAGAATTATTAAGAACGCATAACGCTCGTAACTGTATATAGAATCATCAAATATGATCTCTACAGACCTTACTGCAATGATAAAAGTTATTGAATGAGAAGGCCTGGCTCATCAGTGGTGAACCTCTCAGCGGTTACGCCTAATTAATCTCTTCTTCATTACTCTTCATAATTCATCCTTTCATACCTCATCCAAAAAGGTTAGAAATGGTCGACATTTCACCATGAAATAAAAAAAATTAATTTGTCGGTGAAAAGAAACTCATGCGGTGTAACTTTTAGTGGCGTTTTAGAATCACAGGCCGCAGTATATTATATTATAATTAATCTCTATTTCAATAAATCACATCATTGCAGTAAGGTATATAGAGATAATATTTGAAGATATTCTATTGAAAAGAAACACATTGCAGAAATTTTAATTGTTAAAAATTTTATCGATAGATGGCAATTGAATTTATGACATATTATAGCAGATTATTTATTCATGATAAAATTGTTAAAAAAGTTTTAAAATTACAAAATATTTTCTCACAACGAGTTTCTTAATAATTTTCTTGAAATCCATAAATATTTTATATTACATACTAATTTTAAAAAAATCAGTTGTAAATATCCACGCTGTGCGCGTATGTTTTTGTAAATATTTCTTGTAAGATATAGTCGATGTTTTATTAAGCCCGTTGAAGAGCGATTTTCACTTGAAAGCTAGCGATTAA